ATTAGTTTAAAACGTTTTTTTAAACCGTTCTGTTCCAGAAATTTGCTGTTTTAAACAGTTACTCATCAACCCAGGTGGGTGAAAAGAGAAAAGAATTTGATGATGAGGAATACTCAGTCTTTCTTCAGAAAAACTGTATTTGCTCCTGTATAGCTTCTATTTAAAATTAAATAGAGAGATATTTTATTTAGGTTGTAAATTAAACAGAAAATCTCTTTTTCCTGATAAATTTACTCTTATTTAGTGATTTTGCAATTAAACGTGTATTATCCTTCAAGCAAAATGAGTAAACTGTTCAACTCTGTGAATATTTGTAACTGTATCTGTTTTTTTTTTAAAAAGTTTCTAATTTTATTTTGGACCTGTTTTAAGGATTTATCAGTGAATAAAATTTTTTGGTAAACGCTTCTTTGCATAAATACCTATTACTTTTTAAAATGTAAGATAACAGTGTTTTATTCAGCTTTGAGGAAGTTTGTTAACTCAGAATTTGTCTTACAGAAAAATAAAAAGACGTTTAATTTCACTTTTTACCTAAAAACGAAGTGAAATCTGTGATCTCACGTCTCGCCAGGAGATGTCAGTCATTACCTCAACAATTATAACTCCGTCACTTTTTGTGTTGTCCACTAGGGGTGCTATAACTTCCTGTGGCGTTCGGTTGACATCCTGTTGTTAGCCGCCTAGCTTGAAGTTAGCTTCGGCTAAGCTCGGTCAAAATCAACATTTCTGAACGGATTTTTTACACAAACGTGGCAAAAGTTTTTGCAATCAGACTTTATAGCTTGAACATGAGTGTTTGGGACTGATAGTAGCTTCATTTAGTGATTTTAAGCGTAGTTTTAAGCTCCGGTCGTTAGCTTGTTAGCTTAAACTTAGCATCGCTAGCTTTGTTTAAAAACATCGTTTTTTGGCGAATTTTAAACTCTAACGTAGCAAAATTTCAGCAAGCAGGCTTCGAAGCACTTGACCAGCGTGTCAAAACCACATTAAAGTTACTTTTCAGCTTTAAAAAGCAGATTTTATTTCCCTATGAAAATGAATTTCATATCCGGGTCACGTGACTGAAATCACCAATGGCAGCAGCGTAGGGTGAGAGGAAGTGACGTAGCCACGTCAGTCAAACCTTCAACCAATGAAAGCGCTCCACAACAGCGAATTCAACCAATCAGGAAGCGTGTTCTCCAACTAGCAAGTTAGATTAGCGTAAAATAGTTCGTCACTTTTTCGTCTTTTAAACCATCAAAATGCACTTTTTCTGCTAAAAATTGTAACGAAACAACTTCTAACTGTGTTCTGAGATGGCACTCAGCTTTTAAAACGTTTATCCATCTGTTCAAAATACTCGTTCAAACTGAACAGAACCGAACTGGTCACAGCCGGGTCTTAAAGCAGAACCTCGTACTTTTTAGACAGAATAACGTCTTCCACAGCTCATTAGCTCTTAGTTACACATAACAGACGTACCATTTCAGCTTACACAAGACTTATGACACAATTTCAGCTTTTAAAACATTGCCAGCCCAACGCTTAAACATGCAGCGTTTAGTTGCAGAGTGCAGCTCCAAGCGCGCAGCTCAGCCGCTGCGTAAACTTTACAGCTCATCAGCTGTTACTCTTTCACCATGCCAACACGTAAAATCAATTTACACACGGATTTAACAGTCATTCATGAAATTCGTACGAGCCACCAGTTTGTAGTGAGTCACGTGAGGTACGTGTCACTTGTTGTATGACAAATA